GGTGCTCTGCTATGGCTGATTTCTCTGGTTGAAGTAGTCTGCAGTGCCTTTCATGTTCCTTGATTCGTGTTGGGCGCTGCGTTTGGTGGTCCCTATGTAGACTTGTCCACAGCTGAATGGTATACGGTAGACTCCTGCAGAGGTGAGAGGATCCCTCTTGTCCTTTGCTGAACGTAGCATTTGTTGGATTTTCTTGGTGGGTTTGTAGATTGTTTGTATGTTGTGTTTCCTCATCAGCTTTCCTATGCGATCAGTGGTTCCCTTGATGTATGGCAGGAACACTTTTCCTCTGGGTGGATCTTCAGCTTGACTCTCGTGGCTTGTTCTTGGTCTTGCAGCTCTTCTGATGTCTGAGGTGGAGTATCCATTGGCCTGGAGAGCCCAGTTGAGGTGGTTCAGTTCATCTTGGAGGAGGTGGGGTTCGCAGATTCTTTTTGCACGGTCTGCCAAGGCTTTAATGGTGCTTCTTTTTTGACTTGGGTGATGGTTGGAGTTTTTATGTAGATATCTATCTGTGTGTGTGGGTTCTGTAAACGGTGTGACCCAATTGTTGATCTGGTTTGCGGATGACTAGGACATCTAGAAAAGGCAGTCTTCCTTCATTTTCTTTTTCCATGGTGAATTGGATGTTTGGGTGGATGCTGTTAAGATGGTCCAGGAACCTGTTGAGTTCTTCTCCATGGCTCCAAATGGTGAAGGTGTCATCCACATATCTGAACCATATCGTGGGCTTTTTGGTTGCTGTTTCCAGGGCTTGTTTTTCAAAGTGTTCCATGTAGAAGTTAGCTATGACTGGGCTGAGAGGGCTCCCCATAGCTACTCCATCTTTCTGTTCGTAGAATTCATTGTCCCACTGAAAATAGCTGGTGGTGAGGCAATGGTGAAACAGCGCCGTGATGTCTTCTGGGAACCTCTGGTTGATGAGTGCCATGGTGTCTGCAACTGGGACCATGGTAAATAGAGACACCACATCGAAGCTGATCAGTTTGTCATTTGTATTTAGCTTGAGATTGCTGATTTTTTCAATGAAGTGGGCTGAGTCCTTGATGTAGTGTGTTGTGAGCCCAATGTGGCTTTGTAACTGTGCAGCAAGAAATTTGGCTAAGTCATATGTGGGGGACCCAATGGCACTCACGATTGGTCTGAGTGGGGTGGAGTCCTTATGGATTTTGGGGAGTCCATAAAGCCTGGGTGGAAGGGCTTCCGATTTACATAGCTGCTGTCGTATGTCGAAGTTGATTGAGGAGTTTTTAATTAGAGTGTTGGTTTTTCTGGTTATTTTGGAAGTTGGGTCTTGCTTAAGTTTTCTGTATATAGTAGGGTCCAGGAGTTTTCTGATCTTCTCCTTGTATTGCTCTGTATGCATGATGACTGTGGCATTCCCCTTGTCTGCTGGCAGAATGAGGATATCAGGATCTGAATTTAGGTCTCTAATGGCTTCTCTTTCCTTCCTAGTAATGTTACTGGAGGGGAGTTTTGCCTTTTTCAGGATCCTTGCTGCTTCCGCTCGTACTTCTTCTGCTTCCTCCTCTGGGAGGCGGTAAATTGCTGATTCGACATTGGCAATGATGTTTTCTACTGCATCCACCCAGGCTTTATGGACTCCCAAAAATCCATAAGGACTCCACCCCACTCAGACACATCGTGAGTGCCATTGGATCCCCCACATACGACCTAGCAAAATTTCTTGCTGCACAGTTACAAAGCCATATTGGGCTCACTACACACTACATCAAGGACTCAGCCCACTTCATAGAAAAAATCAGCAATCTCAATCTAAATACCAGTGACAAACTGATCAGCTTTGATGTGGTGTCTCTATTTACCATGGTCCCAGTAGCAGACACCATGGCACTAATCAACCAGAGGTTCCCAGAAGACATCACAGCTCTGTTTCACCATTGCCTCACCACCAGCTATTTTCAGTGGGACAATGAATTCTACGAACAGAAAGATGGAGTAGCTATGGGGAGCCCTCTCAGCCCGGTCATAGCTAACTTCTACATGGAACACTTTGAAAAACAAGCCCGAAACAGCAACCAAAAAGCCCACTATATGGTTCAGATATGTGGATGACACTTTCACCATTTGGAGCCATGGAGAAGAAGAACTCAACAGGTTCCTGGACCATCTTAACAGCATCCACCCAACATCCAGTTCACCATGGAAAAAGAAAATGAAGGAAGACTGCCTTTTCTAGATGTCCTAGTCATCCGCAAACCAGATCAACAATTGGGTCACACCGTTTACAGAAAACCCACACACAGAGATAGATATCTACATAAAAACTCTAACCATCACCCAAGTCAAAAAAGAAGCACCATTAAAGCCTTGGCAGACCGTGCAAAAAGAATCTGCGAAGCCCACCTCCTCCAAGATGAACTGAACCACCTCAACTGGGCTCTCCAGGCCAATGGAGACTCCACCTCAGACATCAGAAGAGCTGCAAGACCAAGAACAAGCCACAAGAGTAAAGATGAAGATCCACCCAGAGGAAAAGTGTTCCTGCCATACATCAAGGGAACCACTGACCGCATAGGGAAGCTGATGAGGAAACACAACATACAAACATACAAACCCACCAAGAAAATCCAACAAATGCTACGTTCAGCAAAGGACAAGAGGGATCCTCTCACCTCTGCAGGAGACTACCATGTACCATGCAGCTGTGGACAAGTCTACATAGGGACCACCAAACGCAGCGCCCAGACACGAATCAAGGAACATGAAAGGCACTGCAGACTACTTCAACCAGAGAAGTCAGCCATAGCAGAGCACCTGATGAACCAACCTGGACACAGCATTTTATTTGAGAACACAAAAATGCTGGACCACTCTCACAACCACCAGGTCAGACTACACAGAGAAGCCATTGAAATCCACAAACATGTGGACAATTTCAACAGAAAGGAAGAAACCATGAAAATGAACAAAATCTGGCTACCAGTATTAAAAAATTCTAAAATTGCAACAGCAAAAACAGCAGAGAGAAAAACAGGCAAGGACATCTAATCACCTTTCAAGAAGAGTTTGCTCCAGGCACAGTCAGCCCATTGTATGCTAATCAAGGTGGTCAGTTGAAAGATTCACACCTAGCCCAACTTACAAAAGCCTTTTGTCTCACCCTGGTCATTCCACAGATATATAAACCCCTTTTTCCCAGCTCCAGCAGACCTCTGAGGAAGCTTGCCATAGATGCAGGCGAAACGTCAGGAGAAATGCCTCTAGAACATGGCCATATAGCCCGAAAAAACCACAAGAACTTACTGATAACCTTATTGACAACTAAATGCCCATGTAACAAATTATTTACCTAACAACTAATATGTCACAATCAGCACTTTGAATTGCATCCAGAAACAGGTCAATAGCTATTGGGAGAAAATGTGCTTTCTGTAATCGGCCCCAGTCAGCACTTTAGCCGCAGCATTTTTGAAGCATTGTAGTTTCTGACAGTTTCCAAAGACATCCCCATATTGAGTGTGATATAATAGCAATCCAAGCAGCATGTGACCAAAACATGTGCCACTATAATCCAATCTGATGTCTCCAAGAATGGTCACTGCTGGCACATTAGTTTTAACTGTATAATGCACTGTCAGCTACTGGTAAAACATGGACCTCCAAGCTCAAGTTTGAAGCCAGGAGAATCCCATGCTGCAGAGCTGTTATGGAGTGTAACTTTACCCATTATAGAATGAGAATTTACTCCTTAATCTGCCTTTCCTAAAGATCTTCTGTTTTGTATGAATTAATCTTCCATTTATTTACTTTCATTCAGTACATTACAGAACACATTTGTTTAGTACTGAATAAGTTAGAGGCAATTTGGGTATAATCAATACACTAGTAAAACCAAACCCCTCAGAATCTGAATAATGTCTCTCACTGGTTTAGTGTATATGTTTAAAAGAATTGGAGTTCAATACAGAGCCCTGAGGCACCCCATAAACCAATGGCTAGGGCGTTGAACAATAATTTCCAATAACCAAATTCTGAGTTTATCCCTTTGAGAAGAATTAGAACCTCGATAAAAAACCATGTCCCACTCCAGAGAAGCAGCCCAATATGATACCATGGATACTTAGTTTCACAGATGCCAGGCAGAACCAACAAGAACACACCCCCGTTCCCTTTTCTTAGTAGGTCATTCACCAAGGTGACAAAAGCTACCTCCTTAACATGACCAGAAGTGAAGCCAGATTGAAATGGATCTAATCCAGGAACTTCTAGAATCAGGAGTCACCACCCTCTCTAGAAATATGACCAAGAATAAGATATTGGAAACTGGTTGGTAATTCTTCAACATGGTTGGTTCTGGAAGATTTTCTTGCATAATGGCCTCACAGTGTCCCTGTTTATGAAGAACACAATGTGAAGCATTCACTATTTGCCTTACTCACTTGGTCAATCTCCCTCTAACCATTTTTATGAGCCACAAAGGGCATAGGTCCAGTACACATGCGATTATTCTTACTTTTCAAAGATTCTGTCCACATCCTCAGACTGCACAAATGTAAATATATCCAATAACACAGGACAAACAGGCTACATTTCCTAGGTCTGCACCAACAACCTTATCCAAGTTAAACCAAATACGAACACCTTTGTCTTTACAGTGTTGTGCAAATTATTCATAGCAAGTTCTTGAGTGAACATTGTGCTTTTTTGAGTCAGAGAGTAGAAGATGTGTAGACAACTCTGCTGTACAGACACAATGGTGGCAGAAAGTATGATATTGTCACTGTTACTACAACCATGGAACAGACTTTACAATGGAGTGTCATCCATATTTAGTGAAACTAATTCCAAGTTCTCTGTAATCACTGAATTAGTCTCCATCACAAGTCATGATTTAATCTGAATTACAGTTAGTGCATTTTTTTTCTGAATACAGATTAAATCAAGTAAAAAACATGATTAATCAGACATTTTAACAGATTGGTATCTCTTCACTGGAAAATGGTTAATCCACAACTTAGGTAACTAAAAGTTATTACCCTTTGTTCTTCTCTTTCTGTTGCATTATGACATTTTTCAATTTTCCAGTAGCGCAGAAAATCTCGAAGATATCCAAAAAGAGTGAGAATTCCGTAGCCTACGTAAGTTAGTACAGCAACCAGCATTGGTGTTTCCTCAAAAGCTTCATTGAAAGGTCTTTTATATAAGCCTCCATTTTGAGTGATATGGTGAATCTATGGAAGAAAGAATTTTTTTTAAAAAAAGCAGCATAACACTAATCAATTTCGATTGAGCTTTAAGTTTCTCCTGTAGACATAAGGCATACGTTCAAAGTTATGTTTTGCTCCCTAAAGCTTTTCCAAAGCCACCTGAAATCTGCTGCTATAAAACTATATACAACAATCATACCTATTTCTTTATTTAGACTGGAGTCCCAATTTCAAAGGAAGCATTATAAAATTGGATTAATGTAAACATAAGAACCAGCAGTTACGATTTACATGCCTGAATTTAAAGGCCCTTCAGGAGGAAGGCAGTCTCTTAGTTCATTATCACCAGCACACTTGATGTGGATATGTGATGGCCTTTTGACTGCTGTTCTAAGATTCTGGAACCCCCTCCCACAGCAAGCTAGATTGTTCTCCCCATTATCTAACTTATCTGCCTTACTCCCAATATGAGGCCAAAGGCAGCTTGCCACATAAGTTAAAGTAATACACACACACACACACACTACTGTGTAAGTAGACGTTATGTATAAGTCGAGGGTAGGTTTTGGTATGACCAGTGGATAAACTGAGGGTAATTCCTTGAAGGGGGAGCACCAGTGCTGCCTGAGGGTGTCAGCTGCCTCTGGCTGCCTCATTTTTCTGTCTAGGCGTTTAAAAAGGCTAGAAGTGGTACCGCACCAAAGATAATAGAGGGAGCTGTGCTTCTTTTTGGTTCTCGTGGTATAGACTAATCTCGCATCATTCATCGCTCTACTCAGAGGAGGGATGGTTCTTTAGTTTGCCAAATAAAGAAATACAATATTGATATTGATCTGTGGATAAGTCAACCAGTTTTTTGGGTCAATCCTTTGATTAAAATTTCTAGACTTATACATAAATGTATACAATAGTTAAAACAATTTCTAATACAAATGTAACATACATACACATAAGTAAACTTATTACAAACACTGATTTAAAACAGTTTAAAAACACATTAATACAGATAACACCTCACATTGAAGGACTCTTCTGCAACAGTCAGTTTACAACTAAAGAACTGTCTAAATAAAAAAAACAGAGAAGTAGCAAATCTAGATGAGGGTCCACAGACTTGGGGACAGTGACTGAAGTAGTCTGTGCATCTGTGACAGTGGAGGAGCCCTTATCAAAGACCTTAGCAGTCAGCCAAGCTTACATACGGGGTTCCTTCAGATAGTCCGGATCCAAACATAAAGTTATATTAGGTCATAATCAGCACTTTGTGCCTGGAAACAGAATCATATGTAGGTAAGCCATTATTACGCTAGATGTTAAGCTGAATGGAATGCTTAGAGCAGGGGTCCCCAAACTAAGGCTCGGGGGCTGAATAGGGCCCTGCAAGGTCATTTACCCGGCCCTTGCTCAGGGTCAACCTAAGTCTGAAACGACTTGAAAGCACATAACAACAACAACAACAACAACCCTATCTCATGAGCCAAAAGCAGGAGCCCCTGGTGATGCAGTGGTTCGAAGTTTGAGGACCCTTGGCTTAGAGTAATAGCAACCCAAATTTTCAATTACTGGACTATTTCATTTGTCACATGGTTTAAATGGAAAATGTACCTGGTTTTAGCCAAAATATTTGTATTACTGTTACCTTGTTGCACTCCTCTTTTTATAATCTTGTTGTAGTGTATGAATTGTTTTTACTTTGTTAGTCACTCTGAAATTCACACTGAATTTCATGGTACAATGACAAAGATAAACATCAGCCAGCCAAACTGTCTAGGAACTCTGCGGGAGCAGAGAGAACTATTTTCAGCACTCAGCATATTCACAGAAGGCATTTTGTTTCTGAAACTCACAACTTCACTGCTGCTATAGCATCCCACATATTACACTGGAATCTGCCAATTAGCAAACTTAAGTAACTCCTTGGATAGTCTACTATAATATGTGGTGCAGTCCTGTCCTTAAAACTATTTGGGAACTGCTACTGATAAAGAATGCAGCAACTTTTATCCTGATCATAGCAAAAGAGAATTGCAGACAATGGTCTTGAATGCTGGGCTCAATTCGGGGTGTTGTTTTTACACTATGAAAGTCACATATAACTATCCCACCTGAAGCAGGCACTTCCAGTACAAAGTGGGAATCACATAGCCTTCCACATGTTGTTTGACTGCAATTTCCAGAAATCTGAGGTACAAGAGCCAATGATGAGGTATGCTAGAAACCGCAGTTAAACTACTGCCACTAAGCTTCAGATGACCTCTCCAAGCAATTTCATGCAGACATTAAATAGCATAGAGGGCAAAACTGAACCAATGGCATGAGACTGAATAGAAATCCAAGTCACCAAACAAATGTGTCCTTTTTAAGAATGACCAAGACCACTGTAAAATCCTAGAGAGGTGTCTTATGATTGATGGTATAGAAAGCTGCTTAGAGGTCACACAGAATTAACAGAGACATATGCACTTTTTGCACTTCCTAGGATAGGTCATTCACCAAGGCAATCAAAATTGCCTCAATTTCAGACAATCTCTTTGCTTCATTCAGGAAACTTGCTGGGAGAATATTACATTCTCCAGAAATTGGTCCAAAAAAGGGATACTGGATGCTGGCCAACAGTTGTCCAGTGTAGTCAGATTCAGGTGTTTTTTTTAAGTGAAGGCCTCATCACAGCTTCTTTTGGATAGGATGGATTTCTACTTTACTGTAATGAGGCATTCACCACTCCCCCTACCCACTCTGCTATTCCCAATCTGTCTACTTTCATAAAACAGGGAGAACAATAATGTAGTAGTTGTTATCTCTCCAAGGATCCAGTCTACATTCTCAGTCTGCACAATACTGAAAATTATCTAATAACGTAGAACAAGCAGGAGCTTGGAAAAATGGGAGTTGAAGAAAATGTCATTCCTGGATGCTTTCAAGAGGTCTCAAGAAGGTTCAAAATGTTTTTGTTGACTTATATAAGGTTTACATGATCTGACTTTTTCCCACACCTGCATGTCATTTGTTTTGAACAAAATGTTTCCTGAAACTTGTTCCTGATCTTCTTTTTGTTGCTTGTGATATGGAATTTTCTGCTAAAGGGATAATGCTCATCTACTTTGTTATATGAGTCATACCTACATATGGTACATAACTATCGTACAATGAAAAGCAACACTGCAAGGTATCCTAGATACCTGCTTTTATTATTTCTCAGAAACATTCTTTATCCATATTCATGTAAATATTCAAAACATTTATAGTTTCCAAAGACTACAAATCCTACAAGGGTTAAGATGCCATGGACCACAACATCCTTATCAGGATATAATTCTAACTGAAATCAAGTGACATATGTTTTAAATATATATGAGTAAGGTTGAAGCGCTGAAGAAAATCTTGTCATGAAAAAGCTGTGATAAATTCTTCTTAGGGTCTCCATAAAATGAAAACAGCTTTAAGGTACACAACCATGAGGGATTCCAGACTAAATGTTTTTTGGGAAGGGGGGCGGGATGAAAACTTGTTTTGGGTTTTTTAAAACGCAGACACCTTCAGATTAGTAGAGTCTAATGCTATCAGGTGGTTTTTCATTTTTTACTGTAGCATATCAATTGAAAGGTTCGTAGATTAGTAAAACAGAAGAAAAAAAGGACACAAATAGGGCATTACTATGTCTTTCACAAGACCTGAAGCTCTCACACAAACATCACAAAACCTTGGACAGAGCAGTTATTTTAAAATAACAGTTCTTCAGGATAATTCAGCTTATTATTAAAAAAAATTAAACATCACATCAAATATAAACTGGCTATTTATTAGTGAAAAATATATCCTACCATTCTACCAGAAATGACAACCAATGCAGTTAATGTTTTAAAGCAAATACTGTGAATCAATTTTCAAAAATAAATCTCACCAAATAAATCCTACGATGCTTATCTTCATGTAAGCGTGCACACAAACACACAAGAGAATGTTAGTAAGTCATCTGTAAACTGCTGGAAACAGGAAGTGTAGCAGTCAAAACACGGCAGACTTCCCCTTCCTTTTAACAGAGACTTTCACTCAGTTATAGAGGTTGAGTATCCCTCATCTAAAATCCTTGGGGCCAGACATATTTTAGAATACATGTGTTTGCATATACATACATATTTTAATATTACATCAATTTTAATAATCTTGTGTGTGAAACAAAGTTTGTATACAATGAATCATCAGAAAGCAAAAGTGTCACTTTCTCAGCCCTGCATGTGGACAATTTTGGAGTGTTTTGGAGTTTGAAATTCTAGATAAGGGATGCTCCACCTGTATTTAATAAAGCTCTTTATACCATTCAAAGAGGATACTGTATATGAAAGATTGCATATGCAAAAAATCTGGTTTGACCAGGAATCCTAGTAATAAATTAGCCTTTTAAATACAGCTTTGCTAGAACTTAGGGGCAGAAACTGCACCTAAATAGACAGTTCAGCATATAAAAATACATGCCGAAATTCTGAATGTTTAAGGTACCACATACTCTTCAGTCTTCAAAAACAAAAGCCAAGGATGGAAGGCATTCCTTTTTTTCATCTAACATCAGTATGCAACAGAAGTATAATATCACTTACATAAGACATGTCGACAACAAACTAAACTTCAGCACAATAAAAGAACATTGCTGCCCTAATAAGTGTTGATAGGACCTGCCCTTTGGGTGTTAACTTCTAAACAAAAAATGTACAACTTATAGCTGTGGAGGAAAAATAGCTGATAAGGAACAAGGCAACTGTGTCATTTCACTAGCAGGTAACGATTTCTCTATTCAAGCAGGCCTTCAGTAAATGATGGCCTGTTGTTTTCAGATACATGTAAAGGACTGTAAAATATTTACTTCTTAAGTTTTAGTGTTAAAACTGTCTAATACAATAAAGTATTAGACAGGCATTTTAATATTACAATTAACTTTACTGTTTTAATAAATATTAACTTGAGCATTTTTGGAAGAAATAAAAAAGGAAAATGGCATATAAGGTAAATGTGTTAATATTTTGACATTT